GAGGTTGATTAACCATTTTTATTGTGGAAGGTGTTAATCATGGATATTATCATCTTCATTATTTTAATTTTAAAGAAATACATGAAACAGTTTCATTAAAATKTCATTAAGTAGTATATGAAACAATTTCATAACCACATATAAAACAACTTCATCAAAAAAAGTATTATATGAAACAATTTCACAAGGTTAACAATTTCATGAAAAAATTTCATAAGATTAACGATGGATGAGAGTAGTTTTTACGGTTTTTACAAATTGGAATGGTTTTCATTTGATCGCTCCTCTCTCTATCTCTCTCTCTCTCTCTCTCTCTCTATATATATATATATATATGATTGTGACCGACTGCAAAATTATTCTTATAATAGACCGAAATGTTCTTGATCATAGAGTGTCTATTTTGTATCTGTAAATCCATGATTAAATCATAAAAACAAGCTCAATTCAATCAAGATTGATCTTGATTGAAAAAAGGAAACAAATCGACCGAATTGAGTTGACCTCTATCGATATCGAAGATGAAAAAGAGCGATTAACCATACGAAGAGATCGAAGAATCTTGAGCATTTCCTTTTACAAATGTCAACTTCCTCATAGGGAAGAATATCCTACAGAATCTCTCTTAGTTCATATGAACTTGTGAAAAACACTTTCTAAGAATAAATAAAAAATATTAAAATAATTAATTGGAAATGAATAAAGGCCTCAATTATCTGAGCTACAAACTTTGTCTTCACAGTGATTTTGGTTCATTTTTTGGGAAAAAAAGTGAGGATGGACTTGTCTGTTATGTATAAATCATTCATAAAAAGAGCATCTGGTTCTTATCTATGCAAATTATTGAAGTATTTTTGCAGATTCTCAAAAGGAATAAATTGTTATTGCTCGATCGCGTATGATCAATGGCTAGTTTTTGTTCCGATGCATGTATAGATATTCGCGGTATCTTTAACGGATACTTTTCACATTTATATGTCGTGTTTGTCTGTTAAATAATTTTGCGGGGAAATATATATATATATATATATATATATATATACTCAAATAGTGGTCCATAATTGGTGCCTTCCAAGTTCTATCCCATCCTTGGCATCAGTGATTTTCTATTGACAGTTATGATTCATATTCCAGTATGGTGTGTGTGTGTTCTTGGTGTGTTTGTGTGGGAATTAATGGGGGTTCAAGAAAATACCAAGGGTTTTTAGGGTTTCATAAACTTCTTGTAAAAACAGAAGCTTTATGGGGTCTCATAAACTTCATAGTAAATACAAGAACTTACATCACATGTATGAAGTTAGAAAGCATTAATCTTTCTAAGGCAAAACACGAAACGATTGCTTGACGTGTGAGAGAGAGATGCAAGAACGTATGAAAAGATTTGTACGGTTTCCATAAACTTTATGTAAGAAGAGATTACACCGTACACAAAGTCAGAAACTATCGATCTTTAAGGCAAAAAACAAGTAGATTGCTTGATACCGAAGAGACAAATTAAGAGAAGAAACAAAGGGGGGAAAAAAAAGCAAAGAAAAGATGGCCGTTGAAGCGCAGGATTCTCTTCCTCGAATTCGTTTGCATTCTGAAAAGCGAAACAGATTTTTACTACATTGAACCCAAAAAGCAAATAACCAACAAACATTGATATAACATGCTTTTTAGAAATGAAAGATTGCTTAATTACCATAACTATTCCCTTGGTGATTTGCATTTATAGCATTCCATTCTACTTGCATAATTGTGCACTCCACAGCCTAATCTGCATCAAGTCGAATGATGAAAAGGGATTTAGTGAACGTTTAAGATAAGTTTATATATCGGTTTAATTTCACTTAAGATTCGTATTTAGATTATACCTATTGCAAATCCAATCTCCTGTTTTCCAGCCAGGTACAGCACTAGCATCATAGCCATAACATGCCGTGGTCGATGCAGCCATCATAGCACTGTAATCTTTGAGTGCACCGCACCTATAACACGCGTTTCTGCTTGCATAATTGTGTGTCCCGCAGTTAAATGTGGCACAATACCAGTCGCCAGCCAACACCTCCGTCCTATTCATTCCGTAAGAAGAGATCTCTTCTGGGGACGCAAATTTGGGACAATGACATCTTTGACAAGCGTCGCGTTTCTTGAAGTTCATATGTTGGCATGCAGCACACATCCAATCTCCACTGCTCATCTTCTCTTGTTATAAGTCTTAGAACCTGAAAACCCCAACAAAAACCATACAGATTTCAACAACTATATACAAAACCATGATCATCCATTGCAAACTGTCACATTTCATCTTGTTTGAACATATAGATGAAGTGCTAACCTTGAGAAATGTTGCAGTGAAGGAGATGAAGCAAAATAGCAAAAGGGGAGATGATATGACAATCTTGGAGTTGGTGATTTTCTTGAATGAAGCTTGAATGGTTTATATACTTGCCAAAAGATTCTTGAAAGTGGGACCCATGTAGAAAATGAAGTAATAATTTATTTTTGCCAAGACATGTATCAGTATCATAGTTTGTTTCCATATGGTCCTGGAATGGGATTCCAAAAGTAGAAGAAGTTTCATTTTTGGTCTTAGATGAACCTTTCTTATTGGTTTTATCTTGCTTCAGTTACACCTTCCCAACTTTGAACACTTACTTGTCCCTACAACTTGGATCCAAATGCATCTAAAACATGATCATATATCAGTTAACAAGATATAAAATATCGTCATTTTGTATATGTTTGTTCGGTTTACCATATATATTTTAACAAGATATAAAATAGGTAGTGTCGGATCAAAATTTTGATGATGAGGTCGAAATAGGGTTGGGTTCACGTGAGACCAAAGGTTTTTCGTGAGATCCAGGGTTTTTCGTGAGACCCGTAAGACCAATTTATGTTCATTGATCAACTTTATAAGCTAATGATTTAGTGGTCTAAAGTTGCACGGTGGTAGTTTTGTGATTATTGAGAAGTCTCGTGGCAATTTTGTGATTATGAATGCTCAGATTGTAGATCTAATCCACGGGTTGAGAATTGGTCTTACGGGTCTCACGAAAAACCCTTGGGGGTCATCTGAAATCCTCTCCCAACCTCTTATGAGTCCATCCTCCTTGATATTCACATAAAATGTTTCTTAGAGTTCTACATCAGCTGGACTTGGACAAATTCTTCCCTATATATGTTGGAACCTCTCTTCTCTCCTCAATGACTCTTTTTGGAGATTAATCTGAGATTTCACATATTCTCACAATGTTGTTAATTAATTATCTTAAAATATTTAAGATCATGTTCAAGAATTACATATTTAATATGTTATGTTCATACGGTGTTGTTATTTCTTTTGACATCAGATTTAAATTTGTGTTAATTTTTGTTTTTTTTTTATTAACCTGAATATCTAACTCACTATGCGAGCCGACTAATCCCAGTACGACCACTTGCTTTGCAGATAGCCCAGAGTCACCGCATTTGAACCTCCGTGGCCACAAGAGGATTTTTATTCCTCATTGGATTTGAACCTGGGACCTCCTGGTATTTTTGAACTTTAGAGTCAAGCTCAAACCAATCAGGCACGATCCTTGTGGTTATTTGTGTTAATTTGACAACCTACTTGGATGTAAGGATTATGGTTTTTGGTTTATTTATTAAATCATGGATCTTGAGTTTCTAATTTATATATTATTTATTACAACAAAATTGGGTTTATATGACGTCTAAAATGTCTAAGTGTCCTAATATAATGTTTTATAGAACTTAAATTTAATGAACAACGCAATAAAATGTTTTATCGAAAAGTGTTACAACATGTTTATAAGACGTTTTTGGGCATTTTAACAAGTTTTTAAGAAAAATTTAAAATAAAGTAACGAAGTAACGTATTCGTTAATTAATTTACAGGATATTTTTAAGAAATATCACATAGGGTTGGGTTCCGATGTTCCTTGGGTATTAGCTACAGCTCGTATTCATTCAGTAATTCTACCCCTTCTTCATTCTTGGACCTCGTTTTTGTATGATGAGAAGCGTAAGACGAGATTTCCACACTTGGATAATCCTAATTGAATGTCAACATTAATGAGGTGCACCGAGATGCACCAGATCAATTCCTTTCTAAAGCACAATTCATGAATGAAAATGATATTAGAAGTGATCAAGGGTTCAAATCTTTTCTTACGCTTTTCACTGTAACTTCTATTCTCCTAACCGAATGCCATATAACCAATCTTTTTTATAGAACAATTGTACTTATAGGACACCTTTTCTAAATAGTGCCTTATACAATAGCTAATATGATACTTTTTTTTTTTTAAATCTAAAAAAACTTATTAAAATGATAAAAATGCCCAATAAACTTATTGTAACACTTTTAGATAAAACATTTATTGTTTAATTTTATAAACTTAAATCGTATAAAATATTAAATTACAACACTTAGACATTTTTTTTATTAACCTGGACATGCAACCCGCTATACGAGCCGATTAATCTCAGGACGACCATTTGTTTTGCAGATAGTCCAGAGTCACCGCACTTAAACCTCCGTGGCCACAAGGGGATTTTTATTCCTTGTTGGATTTGAACCTGAGACCTCCTAGTACTTTTGACCTTTGAAAGCAAGCTCAAACCAATCAGACATCACCCTTATGGTTCACTTAGACATTTTAATTTCATATAAAAATAATTTGGTTGTATTTATATTATGATGGCTCTATATATGGTAAAAGGAACAAGATGGTGGCTTTCAAATGGAGGTGGTAATGTTCCAAAGGACAACAAAATTCAAGATTAAAATTCCAAGAATGCCCCTCTTTACATGATTCCCTTTTGCATTATTTGAGAAAAAAAGGCTTCCAAGTTATTCTCTTTCATACTATTTCTACTTTTGGTAATATATCTTGATCAATGTTTGTATATGATACATTCATATAGCTTTTTATCCTTCCTCCATTGCTTTCTCACATGGATAACCCTACTCATCACATGACATGCACATGCATGTACATACATCCATACATAAACCCCTTTACCACTGTAACTTAATGTTAATACAGGTTTATAATCATATATATATATATATATATATATGAGCGATCAAATGAAAATCATTCCAATTCGTAAAAACTGTAAAAACTGTAAAAACTACTCTCATCATTCGTAATCTTATGAAATTTTTTCATGAAATTGTTTAATCTTGTGAAATTATTTCATATAATATTTTTTTGATGAAGTTGTTTCATATATGGTTATGAAATTGTTTCATATACTATTTAATGAAACTGTTTCATGTATTTCTCTAAAATTAAAATAATGAAGATGACAATATCCATGATTAACATCTTCCACAATAAAAATGATTAATCAACCTCTTATAATTACAAAAATATGAACAAAATGAAAAATTATGATTGGTGGAATGATGTTTTTACGGTTTTTACAAATTGGGTAGTTTTCATTTGATCGTTCACCTATATATATATATATATATATATATATATATATAATAAGATAAAGTTGTATTTTATGTTCCATATAAGAATAAGTTCCTTATAAAACAGCAATGCACCATTACAAAATTCTATTCTTCTTCGCCTTCGATTATTTCTGTGGCAATAATTCAAACCCCCACTTAAAGATTCATCTTCGCCCTTGCTTTTATGTACAGAAGTTTGACTCATATTTAACCTCGTCTTTTAGATGGTAATTATGGCTTAATGAAAACGCTATCAATTTCAAACCACCTTTTCCTCTGTCTGTATAATTTTATATAAATAAATATTTTGTGCATATATAGATATGTGTGTATGCATTCATTCGTCGAAAAATTGACGAATTTCAAACCTAGTTAAAGTCGTAAATGTTTGCCACCAACATTATATATACACACATAGATACATAACTACAACGATAACATAGACATGGTCTCAAAACGTTTTCTGAAAACAAAACCATCCAAGTATATAAAATGGTACCCACATTACAATAAAATTGGATTTATAGGACACCCCCAATCTTCAAGTATCCCAATAGACCGTTTTATAAGACTTTATTTATAGGACCAAAATATAAAACGTCCTATCTAAAGGCATTGTAATACGTTTATATGACGCTTTTGGACGTTTTAACAAGTTTTTTAGGATATTTTTAATACAAAGTGTCACATTAGCAACTTTATAAGACACTTTTGAGAAATTATCCTATAAACCCCATTTTTTATAGAACACTTGTTTTTATAGGACAATTCTTCAAATAGTGTCCTATAAAGTTGATAATGGAACGTTTTATATTAAAAGTGTCCTAGAAAACATATTACGACATCAAAAAACGTCTTATAAACTTATTACAACACCTTTAGATAGAACACTTTATTTTTTTGGTCCTATAAACTAAGTCCTATAACCCAATTTTGTTGTAGTGCCACATGATTCATGTACCGTTTACTAAAGTTCACAAGGCATAATATGAGTCTCGGTCATAACCACATATGGATGCAGATAAATTGTTAAACCATAATCATGTTATGTATTTGAGTTTTCGTTTTCTACGATTATATATAGTATGCATAAGACTTTTGTTCTTAATGAAATCATTCAACGAGTCAAAGATACTTGTTAGAAAACGATCTAAAACAATTAAATTCAGATATCAAATACAGATATATTATCCAATAACTGATACGAATACGTCATATATACAAGAAAGGAAGCACATTAAATTGCTACCATCGATCGTATATGGTATTTTGGGTAGTTTGAAAGCTTATTCCATACCCAGCTCCCACGTGGGGTACAAGAGAAATTATGGGTTTTCAAGATCTTAAAATTCCCAAAATAAGAATATACTTATATGGAGGACCATAAAATGGTCACTAAAAAGGTTCCCACTTGAGCCACTAATTGGTCAATATGTTGCTGACTTGTCAAGCTTTAGTTCGATTCATGCTGGCGACTCGGATGCTTGTCTGTCAACCTACGATTGGATAAGAAGGAATCCTAGTCAGCATCCTTTGGACAAGATGAATATTCCAAGACATGAGGAGGAGGGGGGGTTGAAGGAATAATGGAGTCATTTGTCCCTCAATAATAACTCAGGAATCCACATCTAGTCATCCAATGCGGCGAATAGCCGTTGTTTTTGAGTTTTTTTTAAGATTCTTTTTCTTCTTTTCTTTTTTAGATTTTAGGGTTTCTTTAACCGTTGCTTTCTCTAGGAGTTTGTATGTACTTCGACTAATCTTTTAGGATCTTAAAGAATGGCTGGAAAACGCTAGTATACTTGGAGAGATTCGAAAGAGGAGCCGTAAAACACCCGAATCTTGTGAGTGAGATAACCGCTCAAATGCTCAAGATTTTAGGGTTTTTCAATGACATACGGTGATTGATTCAAGAACCGATCTTGGACATCATGCATTTCAACCTTGGTTTAAAGATGGAACCATGATCGCATGAAAAACGGTTTTCTGTTATGATTTGTCTTATTTCATTTTGTACCTTTACAGACAGTTATGTCGAAATGTGATCAAAAGGGTTGGTTCCTTTTTATAGATGTGGATGTTATTGGATAGATCCTTTAAGAATCATTGCAACAAATTCACATCTTGTTGCAAGAAGTGCATGCCTAATGATCGAGAGAATAAAGTAAAAATGAATTTAATTCATCATTAAAATAATAAAATCTGAAATTTATGTAATATTCTACTGTATTAGTAGAGTTTAAATTTATCATATATTAGTTTTAAGAAGTTATACGTATGTAGTAATAAGTTGTAAACTTGAATTTTAAGAAAATTAAGAATAAGGTGTAAATGTTTTATAATATAGTAAATATTATAACTCATGTTGATGATCATAAAAGAAAAGTGACATCTAATATCAATATGTTATGCCACCAAAATGAGAAGAAATAGCGATCCAACCAATCATCGATTTCATGAACCTTAACTGTGTGCATGTTATGTCCATTTGTTCTTGTTGTCTATATTGTATGCACATCATGGATGTCTAACCTCTAGTTTCTTAAGGGTGTGTTTGGTATGCTGGACAAGGTGGGACATGACAGAACAGAACATATTTGTCCTACGTTTGGTGTGGTTTAATGTGGAACTAAGTAGAACTAACTAGTACAAGGATGGGACGCGGTTGTTCTCTCCTTACCCGTGGAACTAAGTGGAACAGAGACATTTTTACCACACTACCCCTTCCCCCTTTCTTCCCCACATCGCCCCTGCACCTGCCAAAGACGCCTCCACTCCATCGCACCCCTAACCTTCTCCTTCTCCATCTCGACGGCGACATCCCTTCTCCCTGACCGCCGCCGCCGGAGAAACGAATAACAAGATGAGGCTATTAACCCACAACATGCTCTCCTCAAACATCAAGGGAGTAATCAATGGCTTCCCTCTCCTAATCGAAGCAGAAAGAGTCGTCGAGAAGCAAGTCGATTTCAATCTTGATTTCCTCAAGAATATGTTCTCCAAGATCGATTGGAAAGCCCTAGCCGACGCTTCAAAGACCATGGGATACGATGAACTCCCTGACGAAGTCCCCGATCCTTCGGTGCTCGATTCTCAGGAGTTCTTGCAGAAGTTCCACCATGCACTCCTAGAGCTTCACCTCGAGGAAGGCGCGCTCGTTTACCCGGAGACTGGTCGAAGGTTCCCTGTTAATAAGGGAATACCTAATATGTTCCTCCATGAAGATGAGGTCTGATTAACAATTCCTTAGAGTTATTTTCTGTTAGCAGCAAAGAGTTTATTATTTGCTTCCGTTGGGGTGTTTACAGCTTCCTTGATCGAATTTGGTAGTGAACACAACAGCTCTGTTTGTGAGTTTTTAATTAAGATTGATTTTGGTGAAAAAACACTAAACAACTCATTGAGGGTAAATCGGTCATTTTAACCAGTCATGTCCTGTTTTACCAAACGCTGAACAGTTGTCCTGTCCTGTCCTGTCTCGTCCTGTCCCGTCCCGTCCTGTCTTGTCCTGTCTGCGCACCAAACGCACCCTAAATCCTGAAGATACTAGCTAACAAAACAAATATCAATATCCTATATCAACTATCTTATTACACATGTGTTTCATCAGTATCATTTAATCAAGGGATCTAAAGACATTACTCTTGTCACACATAAGGGACACGTCTTCTCTCGATCCATGGTAATACTACTAATTAAGTGAAACATGACATATCCAACAACCATTTTGTCTCTCGGTTACCAGATTAAAATCAATGCCAAAGCATACCACTCACATACAACAAACTCCATGATCTCAAGTCAAAAAGGCGGTATATACAATGACCATATGAAAAACATTTATGACACTTGTACAACATTTAATGCAAGGTTTTCATACTGTCATGTTTGTTACACAAGATCCTTATCTTGTACCTATATATGGATCATGTATGTTTATATGTATCCCCATGTGTAATAGTCATTATCGTATTACTCCAAATCCTCAAATAATACTCGACATGAGACATTTTAGAATACATTATTCTAAGAGTATTATTGTGTCTACAGAAAAACACATAATTCTAGAATATAAACATAATAATTGGGTAACGTATTTTATTAATAAATCATGACTCAATGTCCAACCATACTATGCCACCATATGATTGCCTTTTGGGCGTACATCGACAAAAGCAAGAGAACATATAGCATTCTTGAAGAACAATGAAATTTTCCATACGTAGAACTTCATACTCCTATTCCCTTGGTGATTTGCATTTGTAGCATTCCATCTTACTAGCAAAGTTATGTCCCATACATCTGTGCAAACCCATGAAAACGCATGTTATATCCATTATAATATAGCAAAAACCATATGAAAACAAATTATCAAATCATGATGGATTCCATACATGATTATTGATATTAAACGATTTTGATTACCTGTTGCACATCCAATCACCAATTTTTCCTCCTGGAAGAAAGCTAGCTTCGTAAGAATAACTAGATGTTGCAAATGTCGTCATCATGATATAGTCTTTGTGTGCACCACATCTATAACACTCAGTTCGATTGGCAAAGTTGTGTGCTTCACAACAACAGTACCAGTCACCTGCCAACACCTTCGTTTTGTTTGCATGAGTTGAAATCTCATCCGTTGTCGCAAATTTGGGACACTGACATCTTTGACATACGTCACGTTTCTTGAAGTTTGAATACTGGCATGCACCACACATCCAATCCCCGCTGCTCATTTTTCTATGTGTTTGATTTTAAAGCAATTAAAACAACAAAAAGTAATTGCTTTTATGTATATGTCAATTGAGTGTAATTTCCTTGAATGAGCCTCCATGGTTTATATACTTCTAAAAAGGTCTCCTAAAATCATTGACATGTAAAGCCATCCCTTTATTAAAAAAATATTCTTCTATCATTTAAAAAAATTAAAATATATCTAATAAGTATTCAAACATTATTGGAATATATATATATATATATATATATATATATATATATATATATACACACCCCTCAATGTTTTATTAAGTTCATTTAAAGGATGTTTAAGAAAAATCAATAGAATGATATAAAGAAATTGCAACATTTGCTTGTTTCTACATTTTAAGTTTTCATTCTCCATAAGTCAAGTACAATTATAATTATTACATCAAGAAGATTAATTATATTAAAGGGTATTTACTTTTTATTAACCTGGATATCCAACCCGTTATGCGAGTTGACTAATCACAGGGCGACCACCTACTTTGCAAATAGCCTGAAATCACTGTATTTGAACCTCCGTGGCCACAAGGGGATTTTTATTTCTTCTTAGATTTGAACCTGGGACCTTCAGGTACTTTTGACCTTTAGAGCCAAGCTCAAACCAATCATGCACCACCCTTGTGGTTATTAAAAGGTATTTAAGACATTCATACAACTAGAAAGCATCACATGTGCTTCATAATAGCATCCTTGCCCATGTAATTACCATTAATAGCCTTCTTGTAATTGGATTCCAAGCAAAATGATCATGAAAGGTTTGCCTTATTCTTTTTATGGAAAACTATATAATTATAGAATGTGACAATGTGTTGTTAGAACCGGATTCCAAGAACTTCTAATATGATTACAGATTCATTCATTATTTAAGAACTATTACTGTATAACACAATAATCATGTGTGTTTTCAAGTAATCAGATCATTACAAAATCAAGATTTATCCAAAAGATTTTCGAACACTTAAAAAAACGTGTTTTATATTAAAGAGTATATATTTATAATATTTTAACCATCAAATACGACACTTTAATGTTCAAGTATCTTCCTTGGAATTGGATTCTAAAAGGTTTCAAATAAACCTCCACAATATGTTACCTTTTGTTATATTTTTGTAAATTTCCTTACAAAAATATCATATAACATATGTTTGATAAAAACTCATACACTTGAAAAAAAAATTAATAACAATAATTATTTAAACTCTGAAAATACTGATCTTAATTTATATGATTCATTCATACATTATTTGACTTAAAAAGAATGATATTCAACCACAAGGATGGTGTCTGATTGGTTTGAGCTTGACTCCAAAGATCAAAAGTACCAGGAGGTCTCAGGTTCAAATCCAGGGAGGAATAAAAATCCTCTTGTAGCCACGGAGGTTCAAATGCGGTGACTCTTGACTATCTACAAAGCAGGTGGTCACCCTATGATTAGTTGGCTCGCATAACAGGTTGGATATCCAGGTTAATAAAAAAAATGATATTCATTTAAATAATATTTCTCATATGGATGCGATGTATGTGCATACATAGCATCAACGTGTAGATATACACTCATACAACCATTGAACCGATATCAAAAACATGAAGAATTTAATTTTGTGTTCCATATAGGAATAAGTTCCTCATAATGCAACATTGCCAAATTCCTTTTTTATATATAATAATGATGTCAATTTTTTTATTGCTATTTTTGATCAAGCATGTTTAGCTATATTTAATTGATGATAATATATGATTAAAGAGGGTACATGAGTCTTTTCAAGATATCCAACATTGAGTGTATTTCTAGATTAATAGGATATACAAAGTAAAATTAATAAGATAATATGACTTAGACATTGATGTATATTTTTATTGGGTGGTTTCATTTACGAGCATAACCTAATATTAGTTTAGTATAATTAATATCTGATTCAGTGAACATCTCGATTTTTTTTTAATATAGAGTGTTGATAATAGTAAATGAATGTTGATTATCTTTCATAAATATTCAAATCATAATAAATAAATTCTCATTATTTATATAAATATCTCACTTGATTGATTCATATGATTTGTGCTCATAGTTAGATTTATAAATGAAACCACCTCTCTCTCTCTCTCTCTCTCTCTCTCTCTCTATATATATATATATATATATATAGGAGCCTATTCAAGGGAGAACTAAGTTGTTTGTGGTAACTGTGAGAACCAATATTAACCACAAATCAATAGATAAATTAGGAAATTTATAAATTTGGTAATTTTAAATTAAAATCTTAATACAAGGATATTTTTGGTATTTTAAAACTCTCCTCTCTTCTCTCTCCGGACACCGTTCTCCGGCCTCCGGCCATCGTCCTCCGGTGATACCACTATGATACCACTGTGATACCTAAAAATATTGACTCTGTTAAACAAAAGATACATTGTGATACCTAATCATATATAAGATGCATAGTGATACCACTGTGTTACATCTTCGATCGACCACACAAACGACATCAATGTGATACCCAAGCACATATATGATGCATTGTGATACCATTGTAGTATCACCGGAGGACGGTGGCCAGCGGACGGTGGCCGGAGGGAGGAAAGTTTTAAAATACCAAAAATATCCTTGCATTAAAATTTTAATTCAGAATTGCCAAAATTATAAATTTCCTAGTTTATCAATTGATTTGTGATTAATATTGGTTCTCACAGTTACCACAAACTAATTAGTTCTCATTTGATTAGGCCCCTATATATATGTGTATATATATATAGAGAGAGAGAGAGAGGGAGGGAGGGAGGGAGGGAGGGGTGGATTCATATGATAATGGTAAGTAAATAAGAAAATGGTCAACTTACGTACAAAATCACATGTGATCTTACATTAATAGTCAAAAAAAGGTGTGCGACAAAGTTGCATGAATCACATGTGATTTTATACGTGATTCGGCCACTTTATACTCTCTCTCCCTCTCTCTCTCTCTCTCTATATATATATATACACACATATAGGGTTGGGTTTCGGTGAGAAGAAAAGTTATGGTGAGAAGCGTAAGAAAAGCTCCCACCATTGGATCAATCTTAATTGAATGTCAAAACTAATGAGGTGCACCAAAATGCATCAGATATCAATTCCCTTCTAAAGCGTAATTCATGGGTGGACATGAGATTAAAAGTGAAATAAGGGTTCAGATATCTTCTTACGCTTCTCACCGTAACTTCTCTTCTCACACGATCATTCGCCTATATACACATACGTGTGTGTATGTGTGTGTGTGTGAAGCGCACGAAAAGATCTGAACCATTGATCACTTTTAATTTCATATTCACCCATGAATTACACTTTAGAATGAAATTGATCTAGTCCATCTTGGTGCACCTCATTAATGTTGACATTCAATTATGATTGATTTAAGGTGGAGATCTCTTCGTACGCTTCTCACCATAACTTTCTTTTTCACCGGAAGCCAGCACATATATACATATATAGACGAAGGATTGTGTGAGAAAAAGAGTTATTTTGAGAAGCGTAAGAATGGTTCTCTACCCTTGATCACTTTTAGTCTTATGTTCACACGTGAATTGCGTTTTAGAAGGGAATTGATCATCTCGTGCATCTCATTCTAATATTCATGCAAAAGAGAAGATCTCTTCTTATGTTTCTCACATTAATTACTCTCATTTTTACCAGAACCAACCCTATAATATATATATATATATATATATATATCCTCGTATATTTAAGTTTTTAAAATATCTGAATCTTTGTATCAATGTATCATTCATCTATATTTTCTTGCATATTTCTTGACAACATAGGTCCTTATTGAAGATAATAAGGTTATCCCCTTTTCTAAAGGGGTGGTTGTTCTTATGAAAATCATCCAGCAACCAGATTAAGCTTGTTTTTCTTTTTGCAAATGGATAAAGAAAACAAAAAGACAGTTAACGTCTTAACTGTTATATAAAGTCGTAGACTGAATTGCACCGTAGAATTCATATTCAGTGAGAAGAATAATGAACACCATTCACCTTACCTTTATTCTTTGAACTTCAATAATACTTGAAGAATCTATCATATTGTGATGCAGCAAATAGCCATTGCTTTTGAAATTTGAATATATGTAACGAGCTTCACATGTTTCGTAGTCAAGAACTTTATTTATTCATCTTTATTTATTATTTAGTGTTTCAGATATTTTTTGATTTATGATAATGTTGGGGTTTCTATGTTTTTTTTTAATTCCTAGAAGTTGACCTTAAAAATGCAAGGACTATAAACGGATTTTCATTACTAGTTCTCATTAATCAATTTATATAGAAAAAGAGAGTCGGGTTCATACGAAAATGATATGTATTTAAGAAAATAAGAGAATGAATATAGACCATATATATTTTTATTAAATAATTAATTCTAAAAATAACTAAATAATGGGATAAAAAGTTAATTATATTTAGTTATATAAAAGTTATTTGAGACATTCATTTAATATTCTATTTTTATCATATTGATGATTTAATTATATTTAAAAAAATATTTTATATTTAATATGTTTAAAATAAGTGTGTCTAATTTTTATTTAAAGAATTTTTTGTTAAAGCAATATTTAAAAAAATTATAATTTTCGTAAAAATCACATGTGATTCACAGTTATTATTTTTTTCAAAATGTTTTTTTCTAATCATTGTGATTTAAAGCTTGAAAAATAATTATTCAAATTAAACATTAAAAAAATAATGAAAACAGAATCACATGTGATATGTAGCAAAATACATTTAAAATGTATAAGATCATATGTGTTTCAAAATGTAATTCGTAATTTAGACATATTACATGTAATGTTGTAGATAACTTACATGTATTTTCTGCTATAATCAATATCACATATGATACATTGACGAAAATTAACGATTTTTTTTTGGAGAAAAAAAAAGTCGATTAATTGCGGATATCATATATGATTTTTGACGAAAATTGTAAAAAAAATCTTAAATAAACTACTTCAATAAAAATAAATATTTAAATAGAAAACTAAATCACACTTATTTTAAATGTTGTAAG